AGAAAAGGCTCTCTCAAATCTCCGTCTCTCAACAGTGTGGAGGATCCAGCACGCTGCTCTAGTATGAGCTGGAAAAGGGCCTGTGCTTTTGCCATTTGGTTATCAGGTTGATTTCTTCTTGTTGTTTGTGAGCAGGGACTGGGGATAGCGGGTGGGGAGAGGGGGTCAGCAGGGTTAGTGTCAGCAACAGACGCTGCTATACATACCACCCAGATGCAAGTCGATGAGGCCACTGTAATAAGACTCTCCCCAATAGTCTACAACAAGGAATCGGTGAAGAGAGAGTTATTGGATCAGATAACCCTCTTGTGCCCCCAGACCCAAAGCAATCGATGACACAAAGCATAAGGAACACAGAGATATAGCAAGAGGGCAAGGAGAAACAGTTGAAAAGCATGCATCTCTCTGGAAGTGCATTATCTATACACACACGTGCTGCAGCTATATACTTTCTGGTGGTGGAAGGGAGAGCTCACTCAAAACCACCGGTGATACATTTAATAGCCAATTAACCATGGGACTGCTGTTCATACTTTTGATCAGTTACGACAGTATAGAAGGCCTTGGCTTTGCTGGGAGTCCTGACCCTGCTGGAAGTCAACTGTATCTAAGATCTTTTAAAAATGCAAGGGCAGATCAGGGGCCACTTACTACCTTCATTACTGAATATTAAAAGCCCCAGGCTGAGGGGCCAAAGGCAAGATGTGAACATTCTAAAAAAGCTCTGCAAGGCCACCAATTCTTAGGTTGAAAGGCAGTCCGAGCTCTCCCAAGAATTCACCTGTGACCCCCTGCTTGAGCATATCAAACTGCTTGCAGAACTGCTTTCACTGGATAGGTTTCAGATGAAGGAGATCTTGTTTCTTCTGAGGTTAGGCCCCAACTTCAGCCAGGCTTCTCTTTAAAAGCAGAGTCACTACTTGCCCTAAGGCTCTTGGAGGTCTGCCGGCCTCAGGCACTCCCTTTGCCTTTCAGCTTCACTCGGCTGTCCAGCAAGGAGGTTGCATTCTTCGCTTGCCTGAGATGCAGAGCCTGGGCACTGCTGAGGGGCTGGGCTTGCTCAGGCAGTCCTCATCCCCCCAGAATCATAAATGCATAGTACAACAAAAGTCAGTTGAACCTAGTTACCCTTTGCCTCCAGATCTCTCAGGCTGCGTGCTGATCCCGGCGGCCTTTTGTTCCACACGAGGGTTCCCCCTTTAAGAATGGCCGTACCAAAAAGCAGAATGTAATCCTGGAATGGTTTTTCACCTCATGCTCAAGGCTGATGCAGTGGATAAAATCTGCACCATGGTTCCAGAAACAAAAAGGGCTTCTCAGGTGCTCTAGACTAGAAATCACATCTGCCCTAGGCTTGCAGGCTCTGAACATAACCCTTATGGTCCAGATATACATGAGCCTTAGACAAATCGAGGTCAATAGGACGGCAGGTCCATTATCAGATCTCTTGTCTGCAAGGGCAGCCTGCTAACAGGCTGACCCCTCAGAGAGCTATGGAAGCTTGGGCCCATCGAGTGAGGCAGGATGACAGGCTCAGTCGCTGTCCCCCTCAGGGAAGGGGCCAGCTAGCATGGCTGGAAGACTCCAAACTGCCATGCTCAGCTGAGATGATCTCCTTAAGGACTCAGCCAGGAGCAACCAGACTAACAAGAGAAACAGAACGCAGAAGCAGGAGAGAAAGTACAGCCAATGGTCACAGTTCAGCCTCAAAGATGATCTCTGCCAAGTAGCCAGAGCCACTGGGACTTCTGACAAGAGGCGAGCCTTAGAAGTGCTGTGCTTAAAATAAGAAAAGGAAAATAGTATGTTTGGAAATATATTCTTATGATAGGAGCTACTATACCCTGAGAATTTCCCAAATGCATCATGGGGTAATCTAAAGTCTGTCTTTAAAAACAGGACAAATCTGTATTTGGGTGAAGGTGTTTTGATAAAGCTTTGCTTACCAGAGTCTGGATGAGAACAGTGGTTTTGAAACCGTTCTGTGAGACCCTAGGGTTCTTTGAGCGGTATTCCAGTGGTCTCCCATCTACCTGATTCACAAATACTTTGAACTCCTTTAAAGCTTACACAAGACACACTACATTCAGAAGTCTGATATGCTGACGTTAACCCACTGAGGACCATCAACACATTCATCTGTGCTGTCAGGTAAACTTGTTTTTGTGAGGCTCTCAGGACCAAGTTTCTTCTGCCCTCCATGTGCAAGTATCTGTACTCCCCGAAAATGTGCTAGGGAAGAGGTTATCTTATGTATTTATTTAAATTCTGGTTTCCAAGGAGAGTGGTCGCGAAGAGCTGTACAGGACAGCACCCTGGGGGGGGGCCATCACTCAGGGAGACCCAGCCTGTCAGAGTAGTTCCTATCACAGTGCAGTCCTTGAAGAGGGTAACATTCAGACCATGATGCCACAGCAGAGCTGGCTTTTGTGTTTACTGCATGCTTGGGAGCCTTTCTCTGAGATCTACTCTTTATAAGGAACTTGCACTGCTGCTAGATTTAGTAGTGATGCTACCGTGTAAACAATTCCTACTGCTCCCACCTTTGGCTTCTGAGATGGAGGTAATTTAAACTGCACGTATCCTGAGATTTCTGAGAGAACTATTAAAACACGGTTGCCATTTTTGGCAACTCCCTCTGTGTGTCAGAATGTTCTCTACACTGGGACCAAGGGATGGACCAGAGGCTGAGGCCTATTATCACTTGCAGTTCTCTACTCTAACCTGTATTTCCAAATTGGTGCTTATCAACATTCTAGAGTGGTTCTTTTTGATTTGAACTTAAACGTACAATTTGGCTTGTATGAAGGGTTCTGCTGCTAAGAAACAAGTTTGAAAACCACTGACTTAGATGAAATCCTGGTTGTACATTTTTATGGAAAGGTAATTACCTAAGCAACTAGAAAGGGGAATTTTGGCAGTCTCGCACACCAGTCTTCAAGGGCAGAGTTTCTATGACCCCTGGCAGTCAGCAGCTTGAATAACATGGCCTGTTCTAGAAATACTGAAGCAACGCCACAGTCTCGAATTGCATGGCATCCAACAGGTACACAAGTACTTTGCGGAAACCTTAACCCTGGGGCGGCCCACCTGAACCTCGGAACCCTGTAAGGAGGAGATGCAGACTATCTTCCTTGAGGACTCAGGCTAACAATGAAATGGTGGTACACCAGCCTATTGAGTTATTCTGACTATGTGTTGGAAGATCTATCCCTCATTTTCCATCTCGGCAGAAGTAACCTGTGGGGAAGGATAAGAAGGCTCCCTCCTGACACCTGCAAGAAGAGAAAGCAACGAGGGAAGGGCCCTGTGAGTCCTGTTAAAGCTGGGCAGGGCATCCCTGCTTGGCTTAGGCTAACTCCATCCGGATGGTCAGGCTTAACTCAGGAGGCCAAGGAAGCCAAAACAAGGATGGTGGGGGACATCACAACTTCTTTTGGAAGCCTAGAGACCCTCTGAGGTGAACCCAAATCTCCACTCATTGACATAGGCCAGTGCTTGCCTCTCAGTCACACGTCCCAGGCTTCTGGCTTATAGGCTGCTCAGTGGTTCGACTTTTTGCATCTCATTCGGTGGCCCAGGCCCCAAGCAGTAACTCCAGCATCAGGAAAGGGACAAAACCAAGAACATCACACCCTCATCCTTCTCCTCCTCCCATCTCTTCACCCGAAGGTCATCACTGAGTGGACTGTTCAGCTGCAATATCTAGGCCTTGAAGGGCCCGGAAAGATCTTCTTCTATGCCTGAACCCTGACTCCCCCCAAATGAACTTAGGGCCTGCAGAACCCTACGGATTCATCTTGACACCAGGCCCACATCCTGTGAGGTCAGCTCAGCAAGATCCGATGGCAGCCACTGGCCCCATTCCTCGCTGCCTCTTACTGGTTCTCCTTCAGTTTACAGAGAGCCTGCCTGCCAGGGGATGTAGCCACCCTGTCCCTCTGCCACGCTAGAATAAGGAATAAGGGGTTACTGTAAAGTTAGGTCACCTCCTTTCTTTATCCCCAGCCTCACAACTTGAACACTGACCCTGGAGGCCTGTGCTCTCTACAAAGACACGGAGATTTCCCCATCAAGAGGCTGGACTGAGACTCAAGGACTCTTGAGAAAGCAGAGGTCAGTCACTCCATGCCTGAGTTGGGCCTCTAGTTGGGGCTGGCCCAGTGGTTTGAAGGTCCTTAACCAACAGGGCTTCTTCCTGGCCCTTGGGACTAGAGATGACTCAGGTACTTCCTTGCTTCCTTTGTGCCCCACTGGGCTGAACCCACCTCGCAGGCTCCTTGGATAAACAGTGGGGGTGACTGCACTATGTTCCGCAGCTCTTCCCTGGACATGGCAGCCACTGAGCGTGCGGCCCTCACAGCCGTTCCCGTGTCTACCTTGTGCTGGCTCGCCACCGTCCCCCGAGCCTGTCCTTGCCCCGAGCAACCAGCCTCTGGGAGACACAGAGCCCAGGTTCACACTGGAGGGGCGGTGAGGGCTCTGTGGGGCATGTGTCCTCCTATTCTCTGTGCGGTTAGAGAAGGAAAGGGAGCCCACAAAGCTAAACACTGGAGGTGGCAGGTGGGGAGCAGGCTGGGGGCCCCACTCGTGCAGTTCTGTGATGGCTCCTTGTGGTACAGTGTCCCTCATTCCCAGCTATTTTCTTCTAGAGGAAACGAAGCAGGGGAGGGGGAAAGGAGGAAGAAGAGAGGAGGAGGCCCAGTGCTTGCCATCAATACGTGAAGCGGACTGAGAGTTCGTTCTACAGATAAATGCCAGACCCTCTGAGAGGGCAGAAGAACAAGTCCAGGTCTTGGGGCAGTCCCAAACAGAGATGCTTTCCTTTTCCTTTGCTTAATAGGAAGCCCCAATCTCGGTGACGAAGGGCCCCAGAGAACCCTGCTGGAAAAGCAGCTGAATTCCACATGAGGTGACACAAAACTTGCCTACCACGGGTGGTGGGGGCAGGGGCTTTCCTTTAGGAACAAACCTCCTCACAAAGGAGACCCGGACAATACCTGCTTCACCACGGAGTGCCTTCTCCACGGCAACCCCTCGTTCCTCCAGTTGCCTCTGCTTCTCTTCCACCTGCTCCAGCTGCCGCTGGATAATCTACGGGAAAAGAGAATAGCGTGAGCACCCGACTTTCTCTCTCGTCTCCTAGCTTTCAGGAGGACCACTAAACTGTACAAACACAAACAGGGAGAAAAACAAATTATGTCTGAAAGTTGGAAAGGCTTTTGTCCATGGTCATTAAGCCCGGAGTGGGGTGTAAAGACCACCCGCGTCGAATCCCCCAGGGCCTGTTGTTAGTAAGCAGCACAGCTTACTCGTCCAGCCCTCGGCAGGGCAGCTCAGACAAAGGAAGTGACGTCAGCTCCTGCAGCAAGGACTGAGGTACTGCATCCTAAGTAAGACCCTGCCAACAGTGAGGTTGCTAACGCCCTAGCAGGGGTTCTTGGAGGGTAGTGCTGAAATCCTGCCTCTAGAAGATTAAAAAAAAAAAAAATTCTAGAATGGAGCAATGCACTAGAATCTTTTTGGAAGCGTATAGTGAGAAGTTTCTCTGTGCTATGTGGGGACTAATCATGGATACCAGAAAGACATTCAACCCCCAAAGCAGCAGCCCATGACATATATCTGGAAAATGGCACACAGAATACGAAATAAAAGCCAAGGATCAAATCATTGCAGAGAACGTGGATACAGAGTAATGTTCAAGAAAAGGACTAAAAGATTGGTGGTTTTTGATGCTTGCTAAAATTGAAATTCAGCAGCATAACTTGGTATTTGGGTTTGCTGTTAATGTTTCTCATTGTTTATACCTTTTGATTAGTATACTAATACGAATACAACTCTACATGCACAATTTCATTACAAAAACATGTTGTATTTAGATACTTTGTAATACTTTATATAAAGAAATGATTTTTTGTTCCAGAAAGAAAATCTGGAATGGTCTAGGATCTGTGAGGCCTGAAGATAGAGGCTGATGCCTGGAGGACAGCTCTGACCTGGAAATCCCAGGCCCACTAGAGGCTGACGGGTCAAAGATGGCCTCTCGATGACAGTCCTCACAACTGAACTAGTTGACTTTACAATGATTATTCCACAGCAAGGAATTTAGGGAACTCAAAGCCCAGCTCTTTCTTTCTACCAGGAATTCCATAAAAACAAGGCTTCTGCAGTTGCATCAAGCCAGAGGCTTGACATGTTGGGGCCGTCCTCTCAGATATCAAGGACACCCTGTCTACCTCTGCTCTGTCCTCTCTACCCTCTGTCCTCTCTACTCTCCCGCTTCGTGGACAAGGACAAGCATGTCAGAGAGGAGGGGGCTTTTTCCCACTCAGTAGCTGTGATAGCCCCTTCAGGGATTTTACCTGGGCTCGGTGTAGCCGTTTCAGTTCCTCTTGCTTGGCCTGTCTCCGAGCTGCCTTCTGCACACGCCGGGTCAGCTTGGCATTCAGTTCCTCCTCCGTGTAAGTTCTTGGCTGCAGAGAATGAGAGAGATTCCCTCAGTCAGGTGCCGCAGGCCTGGGCACGGAAAGCACTTCCCCTAGGTTGGAGCTGCCCTTCTGCAGAGTGCCTGCAGGGCAGACGCCCAGGCTGCAGCTCGGTCAGAGGCTTCACTGACACTCGTCCTTGCTGGAGCCCTAACTGCTACAGGGTACAGCTAAAGCTCTACAAATGAGATACTTCCCCACTGTGACAGGGACAGGAGGCTGAGTGGGGACTGACTGTTAGGAAGTTAAAAGGACCAAGGGTGATATGCTCCTTTATCACAGAGATCACCTTTTCCCCATGGAAGGATATCTGCTCTTTTTAAGAATTTCTGGGGGTAAAAATATGATAATTAGTTCCCCCAAGCCTCCTGCTTCTAGGAGGGCACTGCAGAAATGTATGCCTATACAGGTGAAGGAAAAAGAAAAATCGGGATCCTTTTATTTTCTTGTCTAGTATCAAATGCCACTTCCTTCAGATGAATGATATTTATAAGGTTCTCTTAAGAAGTAACATCTAAAGTAGAGAAAATGGAGATGCTTCTATTTTTAAGTGTGAGTGAACCCCAAACTAACTAAGGCAGTCTGAAGAAGGGAGATATGGAGGCGAGCCCGGACTGCCCCCAGGGTATGCACAGAGGCAGCAGTCGGCCACTGGGGGGGGGGGGGGAGGCGGTCCGGCAGGGCGGTTTCAGCCACTGCTACTAAGCCCTAAGGAGGCAAGAGGCCAGATGCAGGACAAATCCACGGACACAAGTGCCTGAGCAATTCCACCTGCAAATGTGGGCATCGAGGGTGCAAGGCAGTGTCAGATGCCTTGTGTAAACAGTGAGCAATCACCAAGAGGCAAATGCTGAGGGGTTTGCCGCTATTCCTAACGTCTTTGTTTCCTCCAAGGAAAACAAAGAGAGACTTTGCTAGACTTTAAAAGAGACCTCCAAATTCAACTCAGGAGTATAGTCTAATAATCTTTATTTTAAGAGCTCAAGGACAGTGGAGGGCCAACTGAGCAGGTAAGTCCTTACAGAACATCGTGGTGTTCTAGCACCCTAAGCCTTTCACCTTGCAGGTCATGGAGCTGAGGGCTTGCGAACTCCCCACTCCTCTGGTGCCCAGTCCCAAAGGGGCAGCCCTGGAGTGAAATTACCACATGCACTCCAGCCAGTCAAGAGCAGGGCATCTCCCCTTCCTCCGCCATGACACAGCTAGAGAGAGTTCTGGGGCCCGTGTTCACTACTGCTCCATGCACGTGTGAACAGTTAGTGAGGATGTGGCTGGAGGGCCAGGGCTGGGGGCTGCTCCAGGTGGTTAATCACAGACATGCATGCAACAATGACCAGCCATGGGAATGAGACACTACCTTTGATGCATATGATCTCCTGAATGCCAAGGCGTGTGGTACATAAATCAACTTTTAAGGGGATGGCAACAGAAAACAAAATAGTAATAATAACAATTAAAAAATTAAAAATAGAACACAGAAATGGAGCAAAATCAGTTAGAAGTTTAAAACAAACACGCGAGACTGAAGACTAAAACACATGATTATTTTTCACAATGTCACACAGGACTGAGTAAGTGAGGACCCTGGGGATACAGATCCTAGCAGCAGAGTCTCAGTGAACCCTGGTTTTGAATAAGGACTGGGTTCACTTTTCTACGGAGAAGACAGCTTCTTCCTCGCTATGCCCCAGATCTTCTTTCTTCTCTTTTGACTGTCCCTTGTGTATAATAAACTAAAGCTGTCTAAATACATGGTTATAGATGCCATTTCTCCTTCAGTAACCCATTTGTTTGTGGAAATTCAGACTACTTCTTTCAGCTCAGTGGGGGGCGGGCACTGGTGGTAGGAAATTCCTGTTGCCACAGAGACACAGACACAGAGCAAACTGAGCATCAGACCTAATGTTCTCTTCCAAAAGGCTCTCTCCTAGCAGTGTGGGCCAGGTGGGTTCCTAGTGGGCCACCCAGAAATCCTGGATGGGGGCGGGGGCCATTTCTTGATTATGCACAGTGAAAGGGGCCTAAAATAGCATAAGTAACTGATATTCACCAAAAATACTTCAGGCACATATGTCCTTCCTCAGACTGACTCATTTCTCCCACAAACCAGAGAGGATGAATGTCATTATTAGAACAAATCAGCTAAAAAACAGAAGACAGATGGTTTCCCCAAGCAGCATGTGAACCAGTCCATAGGAACTACGTAACCACACCTAAGGAGTAGCACTTAATGTCTGCACCTGCGGCTGCTGTAAAAAGTAAAGGGAGTGGGGGCAGGCGCTGACTGACTTCTGGAGGGGGTAGGAGGGGGGTCAGGTACCACCTTGGCAGAGGCGGTGACTCGAGGGGGGAAATCATGAAGCGTGTGCAGTGTGTTGAGAGAACGAGGCCAGCCAGAGCCACTGCTTCTGCTGTGACATGGGGACCAGGGCCTGTCCCACAGCCTCTGCACATGCCCGTGGCCGGGCCACAGAGGTTAGGACGCAGTGCACCACTTATATTTAAAGTCAGGCTCAGGCAAAGAAAAGAGGCGAATGTGAATTATCTTTTGTTGGTAGGGTTACAGGTGATAGTATAGATTTAGTCTGTATTATCTTAATTTTTCTAAGTAAACATTTAAAAAAAAATAAGTTATTTTCAATTTTAGGTTTTTTTTGTTGTTTGTTTTTTATTTTTGTGTATTTATTTATTTTTATTGTTTTATAAGTCACCATACACATTGTAATGAGCACTGGGTGTTATACGCAAATAATGAATCATTGACTACATCAAAAACTAATGATGTGCTGTATGGTGGGGTTTTTGTTTTTTTTTTAAATGAAACAAAACTCAGGCACTTGTTTCACAGATGCCTGACTCAGAGACGGGTCTGTGATGCAAGAGGAACCGTTTCCTCCAGCTACTAGAGATGCTCCCTCCTGACCCCACTGTCCCCCTTTAGGTGTCCCCACTCCCTTCACTTCATGCTCTGAATATTTTCAAACCTAGGAAAAGTTGGAAGAGAACAATGAACACCTTTGCCTAGATTTGCTAAATGTTAGCATTTTGCTACATATTTGATATATAATCCTTATATATAGTCTTTTTTTTTCTGAAAAAAACCCACACCATGGTAGGATTCAGGTCAACACGTCCTAGGCTCAGCTTTGTCTTTCATATTCCCTGCTCAGCCTCCAGCAAATGGCTCTGCCTCTGTGGGGACACACATGGAACGTGAAGCCCCCCACGCCTCTGATTCTGGGATTCTAGGAGTGGGGGCCATGACTTGTTGGTCACGTTAGAAGGGGAAGAGCTCCCGATGTGCCTCAGGTCAGCAGAACCCCAGGGGAGGCTGCCCTCAATGACACATATTGCTGAGAAGAAAGCCTTGGCATGGCCAGCTTGGGCAGCCTGCCATTCCATGTTCTGCCAGAATGTGTCATTAATTGAGAAACAGTGGAGAGACTGACCACAGAAGCAACCACACAGATGGGAGTTTCTGACCAACAGGAGATGAACCGGCTGAACATCTGCATAACTACATGGAAGCAAAGTGGAACCCTGGGCCACATTCTCCTTCACAGACCACACCGCCTGCCCCCCGCGAACCCCCTAAGGCGGTGCCAGTCCCCACTCTCAGCACATGTTGAGGGACCCAGGTACATATCCAGAAACAGTTCTCAGTCCCAATGTGGTACCAATGCTGCTGCCTGGGAAAGCAAAATGGGGAGCACTTGATAGGAGATCCACGAAGCCAGGCTCCTGGGGGGGAGCCTGCACACAGGGTCCCAACCCTAACTCAGCACTGGCTTGGCCGGGACAGGTGGGAGTTGGCTCTGCACATGGCAGGGAGGGATCAGAGGCCTGACTGGTCAGGTGTCCTTCTAGGAGAGTGGACAGGTGAACAGCTGGTACGGCCATGGGAGGCCAGCAGACCAAGAACGGGAGAAGAACTAAAAGCTGGGATTCCTCCAGTGTGCCAGTTGTGAAAGGCGGGACTGGGCTGCGGGGGGGCACTGGCCATGGCTGCAGAAGCCATCTCTACTGACCAGACACATGTGAGGCTCAGGTCTGCTGTGGCAACACCCTGGAAGCCCACAGAGAGGCAGACTCAAATGCGAGCCCTGGAGAGCCTTGTAAAGAAGGTATATGACATTCTGGGGACATCTGTCATTCAGAAAAGGGAGCTGAAGATAGCTGGGCTGTCGCCTGGGACAGGAGGCTGAGTGTGTGTCCCAGGCCAGACAACAGAGATGGTGCAGCTTCAACTGTCCCTATGTGCTGCCCAGGCCTTTCTGGATTGTCGTCCTCACCCCATCACTGTCTCCGGGATGCCAATGCCCTGTTAGAACTTTTCTAATCCCTCTCCCTCCTCCAACTTCACTGTATCTACACAGAGCTACAAGAGCCCTTGGAAATCAGAAGATTGAATAAATATCCAAGAGCCCTCCACATTGAGGGTTAGCTCTCAGGAGAGGTGAGTGGCCGGCCCAGCTCCTAGGCCCGGGGTAGTAAGAGGGACCAAGTCAGATCCATAGTGCCCTACTCAGCACAGAATCCAGGTCAGTTTTCTGGACTGGTTCTTTAACAGCAAAAATTACTCTTTAATCCACAAATGTACAAAGCAGGCAGGATGACAGGGCACATTCCTTAGTGACTCAGCCTCCACCTACTGCCTAAACCCATAGTCCCCGTCCCAACCTCCACCAGACTCTGGGGCACGGACAACCCTTCTCCTGTCACTCTGGATACTGGCGGATGCTATTCCACATGGGAATTCTGAGGACAAAAGAATGAATGGACAATGCCAGCAGCTTGAATCTTTGAGGACGAAACACAGGAACTCTTGCCACTGAAATAAGCCCCAGCTGTTCCCGAAAAAAAAGCCCAAGAAAAGAACTCCCTTTATGCCTCTTACTTGGGTCTGGGCTGGGCTCAGGATTCAGCTGTGGGTCTGCTGGGAGATCAGAGGAGGGCCCCACTTTCCACCCCGGGCTGGAGATTTGCTTTCCCTTTCTTCCACCTCACAAAGACCAAGACTACACAGAGGTTTTGGGCTGGGTTTGATCCCTACATACCTCTCGCCTGGACTTCTGGGAAGACCTCTCAAGGATGTCGTCACTGGAGAGGTCCGAGTCCTCCGAGAAGCTCAACTGGCGCCGCAGCTGCAGCTCTAAGGGGATGGAAAGAGGCAAATCGAGGACACCACGGTGCTTTCCTGATTTCTACATGCACATGCGCCGCCCAGGGAGTCAGGGAGAGGCTGGACTTCTTTCCAGTTTGAGGGGTTCTTAACCCATGCAGGGGAGCCAGGAGCTTGGAGGCTGACACCTGTGCTGGCAGGGGCAGTGTGAACACTAAACAGACGGCGTCCGGACAACAGCCTGCCTGGCACCTTCCTGGGAGGGCTGAGCTCCGCCTTGCTCAGAATTGGGCCCTGCCCTGGGGCCGTGTGACTTGAGGAAGTGCACACACCTCCCAAGTCTTATGAGTAAGCTGGGTTTTAGAATTATTCTATCACCTGGAATATGCTCTGTGAGCCCGTGGTTCTGCTTCCTTCTTCCTTACCCCGTTAGCATAGCTCCTAAGAACCCTCGGGGAAGCAGCAGGAGAAATGGATCTTTTGAGGAGAACCAATGGCTGGAGGACACACCTGCTGCAGGAGGGGTCCCCTGGTGCTGACATACCTGCTCTCACAATGGGAGACATCCTGTGCTTGCCCGAGTCCACAGTAGCACCGCTGGAAGGGGTGCTGGAACAGGACTTGTCATCGCCCTTCTTCTTCTTGTCCTTCTTGTACCCAGAAAAGACGGACTTCCACAAGGACTTGGGCTTGGCAGCGGCTTCCTCCAGGAGATTTGGGCTGGGCTTCTCTGGGGGCCGGCCCTCACCTTTGGACTTCTTCTCTTTCTTGTTTCTGCGGGGGGAGAAGAGTGACGATCTCTTCTTGCTCTTCCCACTGGAGCCCTCGGATGAGGTAACTGAACCATCGGGGCCCCCTGAGTCCGATGGAGGGGAGAGGACCTCCTCACTAGTGGCTTCGTGCTTCAGGGTAGGCTCCCTGGGGCCTTTAAGAACCAGGCGTTTAGGGGACTCGGGGCCGAGGTCTTTGCCCTTGGAAAGAACTGAGGAGGCTTTGCGGGAGGTGCCTCCTGGGGGCCTGGAGGTCCCAGCTGCCATCTCCATCTCCTTCATCCTACTCAGCTGCTTGGCCATAGCGTCTCTCAACGCCTGGCTCTTCACAGACTTCTCCCTGGCTCGCATGCGCTCCTCAGCCAGCTCCTTGGCTTCTGGAGAGACCACAGGCAGGCCCCTCTTCTGTGGTTGGACCCCACTCTCCAGAGTAGGCAACCTACCATTCTCCTTGGGTAGGGGTGTGTGGAGGGGCCTCTCTATGCGGGGCCAGTAGGAGGGGGGTGTGAAGAACTTCTCCTGTAGACTCGAGTCCTCTGTCTTGTCATCATAGGTATCCTCCACGTCATCGGCAAAGGGGATCTCGTCCACACTCTCCACAAACGACTTCCGCACCTCCTCTCGAGGGGACTGGGCAGGCTCTCGGGGAGCCCGCATAAAGGAGGCAGGTGGTGGGGGTGGGATCACCGAGGCCTTGGGCTTGGTCTCCTTATGCTCATAAGTCTGATATGGCTTCCTTCGAAGAGTTGCGGGCTCCTCATCCTGGGGTGGGGGTGGGGGTGGGCTTGAAGGTGGAGTGAGCATGGTGGAGTCTGAGGTGTTGAAGCTCTGGCTGCCCAAGGTTTTCATGTTGGAGGAGCTCCCATGAAGGCCCAGCCCAGAGCTGCTCGATAGATCTCTTCTCTCCTCATGGGAGCTTTTCAGCTCTCTGTCAGATGGGGACTTGGGGGTTGGCAGGGAGGGCTGGTCACCATCTGACTTTGGCAGGCCTAGCCTCTTAGGAACAGGTGGAGGTTTTAGAAGCTGGAGCCCCTCACCCTGAGACTTCTCAACTGAATAGGATTTTAGGGACACTGGTTTAAAGGCAGGCGATGGGAAGCTGGACTCGGACACCTTGCTCCGATCCACAGGTGTGAGCCCGAGGCTGCGGCGGATCTCGGCGCTCTTCATCCAGAACTCTGCCACCAGATCGTTCCGTTTCAGGGCCTCATCCACAGCGAGAGGGCTACCCAGTCTATCCTTGGCATCTCTTTGGTTCTTCAAGGGGAGGGGAACCATGGGGATGGATGTTTTGGCTGGAACAGGCTGGAAGCATATGGGGGACTTGGTGGGGGATGGGACAGTGGCCTCAGAGGAAGGCTGAGGCTGGGAGCAAATGGGGAGCTGGGTGGTGGTGGGGGTGGAGGTGGGGGTGGAGGTGGCCAACGGTGACAGGTGCTGTGAACTAACTGGGGAGGTAGGTGTCCTGGCTTCCGGCAGAGCCACTGGCTGCAATCGGATAGGAGACCGCACAGCTCTCTGGTCAGTGGGCACTTCTGCTTTGGGCTTCATTTTGGGGAGCAAAGGTTCAGGGAAAAGGCTCTCCTCGGGCAATTTCACTTTGGTAGCAACAGAGACAGGTGGGATTTGGGCCCCCTACAGAAAAGGAAGATAGAAGCTGCTTAGAAGGAAGGGTTCAATGGTCAGAAGAAACCTATTGGGGAGCTCTCTCTCAAAGGGCCTGTGTTTATGAAATAAATTCCTCTCTCTGTCCTTTAGGCTGTCATTCAAATGGCTCCAGGAGAACCTTCCTCACTTTTTGCTCTATTTGTTCAATTTTTAAAGCCACTCTATTTTACTGAACAGACTCAGCTTTCAGGGTTTGGTTCATCTCGAACACACTCTACATTCTTTGTGCACTGAAACGGACACCTGCCCAAAGCACACTAATGGACCCAGCTCTCCTGACTATGGACCCCAAGAGCTCAAGACCTCTGATGTATGAAGACAGGGGCCCATAGTGTAAGATTTAAAACAGTTTTGTTTTTTTTTTTACAGTCTATACTACAAATTGTCCTTCCCAGGAAGCTCAAAGATCCAGATATTCCTGCACAAATCCTTATATCACCCCACCCATTAGTCTCAGCAAAGCTCGCCCAATTTCATGAATGAAATCACCAAATTCATCTTGCTTCTTAGAATCTCAAAGACCAAACCAAGCCAACCCAGGTCTTGAGTTTGGCCTCCTTCCCCGATCTGTCCTCCACATAGGATTTCCCCAAACATATTCCACAGGACACACTGTTGCCATCTGTTTACATAGCATTCTTCAGTGTGTGGCTCACATACCACTGGTAATCTGGGGGAATATTTTTAATTTTAAAACTCAGTCACGTTCATTTTAACATAACACTAAGAAACAAACTCATCTGTCATATCAAACCAATGATTCCACAAAAATTATTGCTTTAACTTAAAAATAAATTTACTTTTAAAATGGTGTGGCATGACAGAAGAGTGACACAGTGGTGGGATGACTCAGGTCTGGGTACAGGTACAGCGCAGGGTTAGAGCGATGCTGCCCAGACTGCCTTGTCCTCATGGTGAGGACTGAGTTGGATCCCCAAGGCCACTCCTGTTTTCAGCAGCCCCACTTTGCACAAGAAGCAAAAAAATGGGTTCACAGCAAGGGCCCTAAGATGAAGGAATTCGTATGTCCACTCAGGGTCCCATCAGTTCTGTCCCCACAGTGATCCCTGAGCCCTTACCTCTGCCACAGGGCTGTGGCCTGGGGAGAGCAGACCGGCTTGCTCCTCAGGGGACGGGGCAGGGCTGGGGACTTGGGCGGGACCTGAACAGAACAGACACGGGCTTTATAAGAGGAAGCACCCCCCACCCCACCCTTCCCGCTGAGGGTTCCTCTCCCAGCCAGCTCTGCAGGGGGGGGGGGGTCACTGTTGGCCAGCAGAAAGTGCTTTCCCAGAGCGTCCCTGGATGCCACCTCTGCTTATGTTGGAAGTGCGGACTTTTATCGTGTGTGTGTGATCTGTGTCCAGCTTGGAGACGTACCTCCTACCCTTTCATGGCTCCAGAGCACACATAGAAAGGGCTGTTGGCCGAAGCCGCGTGCAGGGTCCATGCATGGGGAAGGAGGACAGCAAGCAGAGCTGTGTGCCACTGGAGGCTGGCGTGCAGCACATCAGCCCTGCTCCAGCTCCACTCGGGGGACCTGTGTCCTGGGGGCTGCTCTCATCCCTGCAGGCTCTCAGTGGGAATTCTGGAAGCAGTTTCTCCTGAGTCAACAGACTTACTTCTCTCCTGGTGCCCTGGTGTGGTGACGGGTTGCTCCTCCTCGCTTTCTGATGCCCTCAGCTCCAGCTCCGCTTCCACCACTGCCTGTTGCCGCATGGGAAGCTCCGTTTCGGCTTCCGATGGGATATCATCAGACCAGTGCTGATCTGGCAGAAGGAAGGGAGGGCACAGACCACCCGAGTGAGGCCCTGCTTCTTTTCGAGTCTCCTGCCATCCCCAGAAAGCAGTCAAACCAGCATCTCGGCTTGAGGTGTAGACCTGTGCCACAGCTGGGCCCTGCCTACTGGTCCCCAGTGCTTCTGAGAGACTCGGCCCAAAGCCCCTCATTCTCTGCAACATGGTGCTCTCATCAAAGCCAAATGCACAAGAGGGCACCTGATGGACCAGAACACAATGCATGTGCCTGTGAAGGGCAGGCCTTGCTTCGTGGACTCACCAATGGTCTGTGTTTCCCCCAACACCACAGCAACTCCATGCTCCCTCACAGGCTTGTCTGGACCCCTCTCATTTCTCCCAGGCTAGTCCCTGCCCCCTTTTCCCCAACAAGCAGACTATAATTCTTAAAATACCATCTCCTTGTAGCTGCTACCTTTCGGAGGACATCCACTGAATTAGAGTCCCATGTCTAAAGCACCCAGTCTGCTCAGTTTCTCAACCACAACTCACTGAATGCAGGCTCTGCTGTCTCCTGGCTTCGGGGTGGAATGACACACATTCAAGTTAGTGCTAGGACAAGGAACGCGACCAGGGGACCTAATGGTGGCCTCTTCTGAGTGCCTTGCTTTTGCTTTAACGTATATGATCCCTTTCCTGAGTTGCATTCACACAGTGGGGAAGAGGGCGGTCAGCACAGTGGAGAGGGGAGGCTCTGGGGTCCCCCGTACCATCATCCAGCTCAGCACCAGTGTCCCCTGTGTCCCCATTCTCCGCTGCCTCCCCTTCTATCTCTGCCGGCTCCGAGTCCACATCTTCCTCCACGTCATTCTCATCAAATGGGACTGTAAAGCAGAAAGGTTCAAAGGAAGGAAGAAAAGGACAGACAGATGGACAGAGAGACTGCCTGTGCAGGTGTAAGGGGGTAGTGGTCTTCCCAGGGCTGCAATGTGAAGACCTCGAGAAGCAGGGAGATGGATTCTGAAGTGTCTGGATTTGGACCCCAAGGCAGACGTCAGCCAGACTTGGGGGAGCTAAAAGCAGTGTGGGCGCTGGCGAGGGCCTGGGGCCCTTCCTGAACACACGGGACTAGCACTGCTCAACTCCAGCAGGGTCAAGTGGAAGAGGGAGAGCAGCGTCAGGTCTGCTCATCTCCCCTCCTCCCCCGGGGCTGCCGGAAGCTCCTCAGTGTGAGAAGAGGGGAGATGCTGCTTCTCCAGGCCCAGCAGCAACAGCAGCTCTGGGCTGCGTCACATGCCACGAGTCATTGAATCCTCACAACGATTCACTTGAGGAGCTGGGGGAAGCCGAGGCCACAAGGCTCCATCTAGCAGCTGCAGTGCTGTGTGTCGGTGAAATCACTGCCACGTGAGGGACCAACAGGACCCCTGAGGGCACCTCCCTCCCCTTTCAAATGGCAGAGGTTGCAGCTTTGCTTGGGGTAACTCAAGAGAAATGTGTTGTTGTTGTTGTTTTTTAAAGCATGAGGGAGACGGTGAGGGGATATGTAAAGTTCATTTTCTAGACTCAAGAATAGCCCTTCAGTGCTGCAGAATGAGGCAAAGCACTTGTCGACTTCATTTTCCTCAGGAGGAACCAGCCCCCAAACATACACACACACACACACACACACTCACACACACACACACACTCATTCAGACCTGTTCCCAACCTCTGCACACCTGGCTCACGCTAACAGTTTGGAGTAAGAGAAAGCAATTGAGAAAGCAACGCATGCTGCTTTAAAGGATGCCGTGACATCCCGTGGTCCCCGGGACTGACAGTCCCCGTCGGTCAGGGGTCCTGAGGGCTTCTTCTAGAAGGAGTTCGAAGCACAGCCACTCACCAAACAGTCCTAATTGTTCTCACTTCAGGAAAAGGGGTTATGTTTACACTTGCATATCCAGGAGCTGGAGACTCCAAGCCCAAGGGGTCGGGTGGGCAGCAGGGGCACTGGTGGTGGCAGAGCTGGGGAGATTTCTTCAAAGGCAGTACCACAATGAGAGGCCGTGAAAGGACCAGGTCCTCTCAAGTCACTGGTCTTCCCACTGTCTAGTCTCTTGAATCTGTACCCCTGCTATGGTGAGCATGTGCACGGTGAGTGTGGACACCAAGGTCTGAGTGTGATAAAAATCAAGTGACTACCTGTAGAGGTGGGGTTGGGAAGACAGGGAAGGGGCACTCTGAAGATAGCTGGCTTGACCTAGTCATAGGAGTTTTTGTTAAAATATATATATCTAATTCCTTAGGGTGCCTGGGTGGCTCAGTCAGCTGAATGTCTGACTCTTAATTTCGGCTCAGGTCATGATCTCAGGGTGATGAGACAGAGCCCTGTGTTGGGCTCCACACTGGGCATGGAGCCTGCTTCAGATTCTCTCTCCCCCTCTGCACATGCCTCCCCACCCCCGCTTGCTGGCACAGTCGCACACACTCTTTCTCAAACACAAAACAAAACAAAACAAAAAACCCAACAATAAAAGTAATTTCTTAAGCTGTATAATTATCTTACCGCCCCTTTTGTCTACTCAGCTTATTAAAAATAAGGTTATGACTTGCATCTAATTCTGGAGAACCGTTCAAAATAGGTTTGGAATGGACTCTGGGGAACTCCATGCCTCCTTAAACCTGAGCTTCCTGTCTGGATAACGAGCTCATGGTTTTATGACACCATTTCTGAAGAGGTGGGGACACAGATGCCTCTCTTCCCCCAGCATTTTTCTCCTTTGGCAGTCACCCCAACCCAGGGGAAACAGAACCAGGGCTCATCCCATTAGGGTCCACTGTGCCCGACACGCATGCCCAAATAAATCTATGAGTGCCTGGGCATCAGGATGGTAACTTATACTTCTGTTGGCAAGTGCACTGGATGCGGGCACAAAGGAGACCATGACAGGACTCCCCAGTCTGGCACTGTTCCAGTCACACTGCCCCACGTCAGCCTGATCCCAGCCCCGGTCCCTTGGCCCTCACATGGTTCTCCGACTCAGAGTTGCTACTAAGAAGTGACTATGGACTCTGAGAAACAAAATGAGGTTCTAGAGAGGAGGGAGGTGGGGGAATGGGTTGGCCTGGTGACGGGTATTAAAGAGGGCACGTACTGAATGGAGCACTGGATGTTATACGCAAACAATGAATCGCGGAACACTGCATCAAAAACTAATGGTGTAATGTATGGTGATTAACATAACATAATAAAAAAATAAATTAATTAAAAAAGAAGAAATGTCTGTTGTAGAGTCAGAAAGGTACTAAGTCTACAGTCCTTGGGAGTACCTTGAAAGGAACAATTGTCACATATATTAAAACACAAACAAGTGAGAAATATCAATGCAGCAGCAGATACTGGAGAAACGCAGCTTGAGGGATGGAATTGGGAGATTCAACCCAGGTTAAGATGGAGTGCAGAGTGCTAGAAGCTGCCACACACTATGGAAGCTAGGAATCACAGACATACGTAGCTTTTGCTTTATTTCAGCTGCCAGCTGGGAAGTCCTGATACCTCAGCCTTCTCCAACCATGGTGGGAGATGTGACTAACCAGGAGGGATGCCCAGCAGCTCTGTTCACAGAGCTAGGGTCTGGCTCCCTGTGGCTCTGTGACTTGTGTGCCTGTGTCCACTCCTGCTGTGAGTGAGGACAATGGGCTGGGCTGGTAAGAGGCTGGTGGTAAAGATCCATGAGCTCCAATCTTACCCATCCCAGAAGAAACCACTAGGACCAGAGTTCTCAACCAGGGGGGGCAATGCTGCTCTTCTTCAAGTGGTATCTGATATCGTGTAGGGCATTTTTTGGTTGTTGCCTGGATGGCTTTGGCAGGAGGTAGAGGCTGCAAGGCTGACGTTTCGAGGGCCGAGGCCAAGGAAGTTAAATGTCCTACAATGCAGAGAACTGTCCTGCCCTCGCTGAGCACTGCTATGGCCCGTGTTGAGAAATACCTCTCCAGAAAAGGTTAGGAAGGACAACCAAGGTTTCTGAGCTATCTCTTAGCCTAAGTATTTAAACAGATCCCGCACCTTAGTATGCAGACCCAGTGGACGCTACGTCTAGTTATACCCAGCCTGTCCCTCTGAGCTGGACAACATCCACCAATCCTCTGTTACCCCCTCTTCACTGAGGAGTCTTCCACAAGTCCCTGAGTACTGAAAGTCTCCTTTTCTGTACTTTGGTGGGTTTGTGGAATATTAAGTGATTCCTCTACTTTTATACCCAACTGCTACACAACTTAATTTCTACAGACTTTAAAAATCACTGCTAAAAATGTTCCCTCAGCCTTGGCCTTTACTCAACCTTTAGTAGTAGTAGTAGTAGTAGTAGTAGTAGTAGTAGTGGTAATAATAATAATAATAAAAAGTTTAGTCAGTTCTGTCTATGCTACTGCTCTCCTCCAGATCTTCCCTGAAGGGCGTGGGGTGTGCGTCCGGTCCATGCAAGGATGGGCTGCCTGAGTGAGGCATGCATGTGCCCCCCCTCCCTTGGCATGCACTAGCAGCAGGACCAGAATTCTAGTGTTAAGGTACCAGCAGAGCTGCCAAGAGAGAGTGGTTATGGTGAGTGGGGAGAGAACAAACATCACCAGACTACCTCCGGAGACTGTCTCCAGCCAGGCCTGCACGGCTGCGCGGCGTATGGAGGGAAGGTCAGGCACTGAATTTAAAACAGACGATAGATACAAAGTTACACAGGAATGCGTGGTCCCCGTGAGGAGAGCTGAGGTCATCCTAGAGCCCCAAACAGAAGAGAAACTGAGAGATGTTACAAGCTAGAGGCCTGTCCCGCACCAACAAGGGGTCCCAGTCCCATTGTAACCCAGTCCCGTTGTAGGCATTCAGGATGAGAAAAGGAGAGAAAACACAGGGAGGGTCAACAGCAGCTCGAGGCTGCGGAGCTACCCCGTGCTGCAGGCCAGTCCGACGTCCCTGTTCAGCAGGGTCTCTCTCCTCACTCTTCTGAGTGTTTATGCTGCTGCAAAAGTAGTTAATAAGGTTGGTCTTGCCTATAGGTAAAGACCTGGGGCTGGGGAGGATCAGATGTCCCCGTGAAGGGCTAAACTTCATGAAGGCAGGGAGTACCCCCTTTGTCTACTCAGAGCCTGTAAGGGTGTGTGGCCCCGTCAGGCACTGAACGGAAGCATGAAGAAAAGTGAGTGAGAGACAGAGGTTGATGACACCAAGGATCCATATTTGGACAGTAGGTATGCTAAGGTCGTAAGGCGTGGAGAGTGGCATGGCAGCGACCACATCCCTCAGCAGTCTCCATTTCCCCCTTTTATTGCTTGCTATTCCTCGAAGAGGTCAGGCTAAAGTTCGTCTTCACCCTACTGTGGAACACAGACCGTCTCACCTGAAACCTAGAGCTGGACATTACTCTATCTACTCTAAAGGCCTCCTGGATCAAAATCGCTTCTTAAAACTTCATTTCAGGTCAAAATATACTCCCCTACCCTGTTCTGCCAATGTACATTCACACTCAGACACACCACACAAGGAAAGCACCAGAACATTTTACCAAGTGGACAGAGGAACCCTGTCTAGTCATATGGGGAAAGAAAGCAAATTCTTGGTTTTCCCAAGGTCAAGTTCATTTTACTATTTTGCATCCATGGACAAAGAGCTCATAACCTCTTAACCCATAGAGAACTTTACATATCCTCAAACAATAGCTAAGGGTAGTGATCACAATTAACATCAGGAAAATAAAATGGATCGTTGGCTCTTACATTTTGATCAAACTGATGGCTTTGATCCTAACGGAAGAGTCCTCTGCAGCAACGAGAGGGGAAGCAGGGACAGAAGGTGCTCTGAGGGGCATTGGGACCTTGGATCTTGAAACAGTTACCTCTAGAAGTGGAGGACTCAGAGGTTGGTACCATTCGCTCCTCCTCCTCTTTCTCGCGAATATGTGTCCAGTGCACATCAGCCTGGATCTCCAAGGGGTTGGCCGGATTTAGGATCTGCTGTAGCCTCTGGCTCCCGACTAGTGTACCAGGATCAGAGGTGGAGGAGAGAAGGAAGGGAGAGATGATGGAAGAAGGAAGCAGAAAATAAGCAGTCAAGGAAAGGAGGGGATGAAACACCACAGGAAAGGAAACAGAAAGAAAAGTTACTGTATTTGCCAGGATCAGTTTGAATCAGAAAGAGGCAAAAATTGAGAGTGTAAACACACACACACACACACACACACACACACACACACACACACACGATTCCCACTTGTTCAGCTTGATTTAGTGGTTTCAAGCTGTATAAGTATAAGTATACTGTTAATTTCAATGAAGAGAACCATACATTCCAACTCCAAACAGAAAGAACTCTCCTTTCTGATGCTCTTTTCATCTTATCTGCATTTGAGGGACCCAAATGCCCAGTCAGAAGAAAGAGCAGGTTACAACTGCCTCTGAAGGGCCACCCCTCCAGGTCATGAGTGCTCAGCACAGTGCCTACTGCCACCTGTCATGTTGACTGCTTCTCCTCTGAGATTTCAGCCAACTGACAAGAGAGAAGTGGGATGGGGCAGTATCATTCTGTCATGAACCAGCTAACTCATGCAGGATGGAAACTTACTTTGTTGGTACTTTAGTGTTTATCTTTTGCAGCTAGAGAGAGAGAAAAAAAAAAAAATCCCCCTTCCATAATAGGTCTCATGCTGCATGCTGGTCTGTGGCAGGGACAGGGTATGGAGAAAAAATGGAGTTTGGGGAGGCAATGGCTGGGAGAGGAAGCAGAGCTCTAACCTGTAAATTCCCAAAGCTTTGGGGGTTCGTGGGCAGGATAAAACAATACCTCTTTCCTTTTTCTGAGGTCAAAGCCCTTTTCCTTAAAACTTCATTTGGTGCCACTGCTTCCCTCTGGACACAAGACCTGCCTTTTTAGCTAAATGAAAACTCACCAGCAGCCCCTTCAAATTATTCCTGCTGCCAGGGCCCAAGGAATACACATGCAGCCCCTGCCCTGTAAGCTTCCTATAATCAGTGCTTGGACCATGCCATACAGTTGGGTTAAAATAAAGGAACAGCCAGTGACTTGGAGAGGGGACGCTTCGGGGGGGAGGAAGGCTTTTCAGGCAGCAAGAGCAGGTGCCACCTGATCTGAAGGACCCTGGGATTCCTGATGGGAGCCCACTCTCAACAATCTAACTGGACAATTTGGCTTTGGCTTCACTATCACACAACCTCTTTTTTTTTTTTTTTTTTAACACAACCTCTTGATTTTTAAGCAATGGAGAATGTAATATGGACAGAAAGTACCAGTAAGATCACCAAATGTGGGTGCGGGCACCATGCTGTGTTAAATGTGGGGTGGTAACCCCACATGCACTCTCTCGTTGTAACTGCTGGTCTCCACAGATTCATTTTCCTAAGGTCAGCCGGCTTTTAAGGTGTTGGATAGGGCTAAATCCCAGCAAAGTCACCCAACAGCTTGAATGTCATATGACTAAGGAAGGTAAGTCAAAGAGAAAAATGTGGACGCTATCTTCATCTTCTAAGCAACAAAGAGAAGACAGTGAGTCTTCCCCCCAGATAATGTTCTGCATCCTGTTCATAAATGAAGCCTCAGGGACTTATCAGCCAGCATGTCCTCCCTTTCCAGAGAAATGTTACAAGGCACAGTAGAGGGAGGCTCTGGGCACCTCTGCTGGTGACGGCACCCGTGCCGGCTCCGCCACTTACAGGCGCTGTGACTGCAACCTGAGGTTCTCTGCAGTAGAAGAGGCCGAGTCTTTGCTAGAGCAGGGGGCTTGCAGCAAAGCATACAAGGGGCACATATAGGGCCACATTCAATAAGGCTGCTTCGGGAGTCTTCTCCTCTGACTGCCCCTTGACTCTCCTTTGTCTTACATGCTATTTTGTACATGACCATTCATGAAGGCTGGCCCAGGGACAGGTGCCAAGCTAGGTACGTGCCAAAGCCTGCCAGGGCAGCTTTATAAAGCACAGATCTTTTCATGTGGGACCTGCTCTTGAAGGCAAATTCTGGATGGCAAATTCTCCCTGCTAGGGAGCCAGGGTAGAAGGTGGGCAACGGGCAGAGTGGGTACCTTTACGTGTACCCGTAGCTTCTTCCTTTGACAGCTGCTGGAGCCACTGGCCTTGCAGGAGTTCTCTGTCCCAGGGGCAGTACTCCCCTTCTACAGCAGGGGGAGCCAGACACCCACAAACACAGCATCAAGAATCCCGCGTGGGGATAAAGAGAGAGAAGAGAGAATGAAAGGGAGGAAAGAGAATAGAGTTATCTTCAGGTGCACGGCAAGAACATCCTGTCACTGTCTACACAGCCATCGAAGTCCACTGACCAGAAGCTACACACACCACGGGCTAGGAATACAGGCCCAGGGTTGGGCTGAATTTGTCGGTATGTGTTTCTGCCCTTAAATCCCATCCCTGCAGGCTGGTTCTTGATGCTAGTTCCAGATCCAGGAAATTAAGTCTGCGTGGAGGAAAGCAGGGCTAAGCTCTCCCGCAAAGGGTACAGACTTTGACTCTAAGCTGTGTCTGGGGCTAAGGCCACCAGACATATGAATCACCAGCTAGAGATAATGACGTCTGAAATGATACAAACAAAATACCTTTCCCCCTGATGCGCTGTGAGCACGATCGCCCCCCCTGACTACATGGACGCGGGGGCAGCCCTGAGCTTGAGCCAGCCACAGCTCGGCAGACACAGCAGGATGGAGAACTCAAGCTGCCAGCTTCCCGGCCCACGGCCTGCTTCCTTCTTACACGGACCTTATGCATTTCTCATCAGAATGAGGAGGGAGGGACAGGCCACCAAGGGCGGCCTCTGTAGGCCTCACCCCAGCCTCCATCTTTGGAGGGAAGAGCGCAGGAGAACTAGGTCTGGAGAAGCCCCTTAGGGGCCTGAGGAGGCTGTGCTTTCCTCTTGCCTGCCAGGCCTCACCAGGGAGAGCTACACAGCTCTCAGGACCGTCTCAGGTCTGGGAAGGGCTCCTCTGCATCTGGTCAGCACTCGGGCCTTCCCGTGCCAGGCTGTGGGGATGAGATTTGGGCGGCCAAGCACATGAATTCTGGGAGGGGCAGAGGTAAGCGGGAAGAGCAGCAGAGAAATCTAGTGCCAACTCTACGAGGCCCAGCGCTGTCCTGAATTTAACGTGCTCCTCTGACAATGGCTGGGAGGGACTGGTGCTTTAAAGGCCCATGTCCTTCTCCACCCCATGTGCCCTGGAGAGAGAGCTCGGCCGTGAACTGACATGGCACCGCTGTCAGGGGGACTCAGGTATCTACCTGCCCTAGTTTCTTCCTCACCACCCACCAGACTTCTCTGCAGCTAGGGCAGGGAAAGAATGACCCTCTCTCTTACAGAGGCAAGAAAAGGAGACCCATCAAGTTCTTCCTCATCACTCAAGGACACACACAGCCAGAGATAGGGGCAGAACTGAAACATTTCACGTCAGGGCCAATGAGACTGACTTAGTGCTGGAATGGATGCTCCTTCTAAGGACACTTGTCCAAACACATTACTACCTATCATCAATTGAGCCCTGTCTCGTGGGCGCCTAGCCCCTCCTCAGTGACAACAGCTCTGAGCAGAGTGAGATTCAGTGCTCCGCAGCCTCCAATATCTTGGGCTCTGAGTCACAGAATCCTCTAGAAAGCTAAATTCCCTTTATTAAAATAAATTTCTTTAACTGAAGCTAAGAAAAAAATAGAGAAAATGAGGATAGCAGGATGAGTAACCTTATCTGGATGAAGTCCTTCTGCTGACCCTCTGCCTTCCACTTGCAGTTTCTCCTCAGAATGTGCACAAGGGACTCTATTGTCAGTGGTCTCCTCTGCCCCCGAAACGAAGGTCAGAGAGAGGCAGGAGGGATGGTCTCCGGGGCTGTGGGAGGCACATCTGTGCGCCAGACTCCAGCTGTGTGACTCCAGCCACAGAAACCTTACTCAGGCGCGGAACAGACTGCCTCAGGGATGGGACAGGGTCAGAGTTAGGAGAAGAGATTTTTTTCTGACCTTCACTAGACTCTTCCTCCTCCTCCTCATATTCTTCCTCCTCCTCCTCCTCCTCTTCATATTCCTCCTCCTCCTCCTCTTCGTTCCCAGGCCCGTAGCTCTTTGAGGCCTCTAGTTCCTCTTCACTCTTTCCTTTCAGAAGAGCATGGATCCTCACAGCCTCCTTCCAAGGAACGCCACCCAGGTCTGAGGTGGGCAGAGGAGGCTCCTCTTCCTCCTCTTCCTCCATCTCGGACTCAGAACTGCTGTGGGGGAAACAACCACACAACCAAGTGAGGAGACGGTTAAAAGCCACAACTGGAGGCAAAATGTCCCAGCAAAGCAACTGCTGGACAGGAAGGGAGAGAGGACAGGCACGGAGGGGTGCAGCACGCTTCCCCACCCTGGGAAGACACACAAGGGGAAGGAGAGCGAGGAGAGGGCCAGAGAAAACACACGCGCACGCGTAACCCCTACATGAAGCCACACGAGCCAACAGCCCAGTCTGGTGGGGCCCTCTCTTCGGTGAACAGCACTCCGCTGAGCTCAGTTTTAGAGGCCCTCAGAGACAGTAGGGGGCACGGACCCTTTCAGATATGAACGCATGACCCCAGGAATCAAGAATGGAGACAAAGTCTCCTTTCCTTGTGATCTACTGTTTGATTTGAGGAACTCAAATCTGCTTGACTCCAGTGGGCTGCAAAGCTCTGGTGGGAAGCACGGTGAGAAAGAGCTGCCTCCAAGAGGCCTGAACTAGTTTTAGCCACAGATGGGCTGGCCATCGAGGTGCGTGTGCTGGAGTGAAGGCCACGCACTCAGTCCCACCACGTTCCCGAAGCCCCCCCGACGTGCGCCCTGGAGCACGACACTATGAGGAATACACAGTTAACACGGCAGCCAAGGCACCGCTCGCTGAAGTTGCAGAACAGGGGCCATGGGGAGAGTGGGGAAACAAATACTGCATCCCTGGGGCCATCACCCTTGACAACCAGCCACGTTTGCCACCATTCTCCCTGACGGCACAGAGCCCAGAGCTCAGCTCGAAAAGGGAAGCGGCTCTGAATGCCAGAGACACTAGCTGTGACTTAAGCAAAAGCCAAAATCACAGACCTCCACACTCGCGGCCACCACCCCAGAGCATCTTTACCCTCCTCCCCTGCAGCAAAGTGAGCAGTCAATAGGTGGTACAAGAATAAAATTCAGTACCCTCAGTGGGGCTGTAAAGCGGGAGAAAAACCCCAACCATCACCACACCCACGAAGCTTCGACCTATTTCATGGTCCGATAATTCCCCAAAAGTCTTTTTCGGGAGAGGCTTTGCCCTCAGTGAGAAATGTGTAGTTGACTGGGCTGGAGGACATGTGGCTTTTACAATCCAGCAGGGCCCAACCGCTGGCCTGAGAGAGCCCCAAACCCCAGAAGCGTCACACACGGGGTTGTTGTCCGGCCCTGTCTTCCTGTGATGGTGGGCTGCTCTCTCCCTACCCGGAGTGGGGTTGTGCACGTGGAGAAGGAACCAGTGAATACCATGTGAGAAGGTCAATGACACCCCACTCCTAGCGCTACTAGTACCTGCGTAATAAAGAATCCCACCTTGCTCAAAGAGAGGCCTGGCCTTTGTCTTGGGGCCTGGGAGGTCAACCCTAAGCCCCCCGGAGGTCCTGCCTGATGGGAATGTCTTTATTTCCCTGGAATCCCTAAGTCATGGTGGATAGTCTAATAATGTGATTTAGGGTGAGGGCTGACCACATCCGAAAGACGAATAATTTAGGCTTGAGTCACGCAGTATTAGTTGGCCTGGAGACTGAGATCAATCACACCATGTAGATAATCAATCAGTCAATCAACGCCTGGGTAATGGAGCCCCAGTACATCTCTTAACATCAAGGCTTGGGTGAGTAATACTATACGGACTTTGTCACACATTAATACCAAGAAAGTAACACTGCCCTGACCCCGTAGGGAGAGGATGATGGAAGGTCCGCATCTGTACTTTCTTGGCCTCTGCCCTGTGTACTTCTTCACCTGGCTGATTTCAATCAGTATCCTTCCCTGTAATTAAACCATAACCATGGGTATAAACCTTTTAGTGAGTTCTGACAAATTAATGAACTTGAGGGTGGTTTTGGGAACTCCCACACTTCAGCTGAGTCAGAAGGGAGGGCAGTCCTGGAGGCTGTCTGCCCACGACTTCTCAGGTGGCCAATCCTCACAGGGCCACACTGGCTCTGCTTCTTACCAGCTGTATGACCTTGAGCTGATTACTTCTGCGGAGCTTCTGCATCCTTATCAGTAAGGAGGCAATGTTAATACCTGCCTTGGAGAAATGTTGTGAAGGCTGGGGATTTTCCTGATTTTCATGTTTGTGTTACGCTCTGGGATTCAGGCTATTCCCTTATCTGTTTACTCATTTACATGTTCCTTCATTCATTCAATGAACATTTTTGAATACCTATTAAAGTTCACCCAGTAGGTACAAAAATAAAGAGGGTCAGCTCCTTACTGCAGGCAGCTCCCTTTGGCGAATACTACTACATTCACTCATTCATTCATCCACCCACGAAAACTTGCTTAGCATCTTCTGCTTGTAATGTACTTCCTAGACACTGCAGAGGATACAAAGGTGACATAGAAAAGATCCTTATTCTCAAGGGGAGATAAGATGCAAACATGACAATGACAAAAGAAGGTAGAACACAACTGCAGTGGGATGGAGGGTTGAGAGGAGGCAGTTTTAAGGTGAGTAAACATAAGAATTTGGGCCACGGAAAGCTTGGCATTTGGATTGTGACTGTTTTTCATGACTTACGTAGGTATTATTTTTGCCTTACTTTTGTGTTTTCATTTGTTTACATTCTTACTACTTATCAACAATGTGTAACCCAACGTATATCACCTAACATCTTTCAAATATGAAATAAGGATAAGAATGACTACTATGCTCATCTTAAATCTTATGTAAATTTGTTAAAACTCTAGGTGGGTAGAAGGCAGGCCAGCTTGTCCTTCCTTCACAGCCAGGACCACAAGGTTACCCCTGGAGTCAGCAGGCTCAAGGAGTCCTCACTGCAGCTTTCCGCTCCTTGTACTGTGTGCCCTGTCACGAGGGCAGCAGCACTGGACATAATGTGAGCAATGAATACTCCATGATGAGGGCAATGGGGCCTCACTTAGAGCTCCGAGTGCCACCCTGGCTAGTTTTACAACAGCTCAAGGACCAAGGGAAAATAGCAAGTGAGGCACAGAGCATAAAAAATCGGGTGGAAAGGTCTACCCTTGCCTCTCTTCATAAGCTACCAGCTCTCAGTCCATTTCTGAGAGGCCTGGCTATACTGCTTCTGGAAATCTGAGACAGGCAAACCAGCCTCCCTCCCTTTGTGAAGCACAGAGAGATGAACAGGTGTTGCCAACTGTTCCTTCCCAGGTCATATCTCCCTGCAACCTTGGAGCTGTCCTTCGAGTCTCACCAGGCTCCTTACCTCATGCAAGATTCACAGTGTAAATTCAGTAACTCAAGCTCATTCTACATTTTCTGGCTGTTTTCAGTACCTGAATTTCTGGGTCTGGCCTTTGAAGAGGCTAGGAGGAAGGGAGCAGAGGAGGAATGTAGTGTGAGGCAGACCACCCCCTGCCACTTGGTTGTCAGCCTAGGAAGTTTTTAAGTGGGGAGAATCACTACACCAGAACAAAATACAACACAGACAACCACCTTCTCTGTCCTTTTGGGAAGAGAGGGTGACCTCTCAATTTATAGCCTCCTAGGAGAGATGAGGGCCAGAAATTGTAGTCCTCAAGGTCAGCATTCCATCACGACAGGTATCTGTTTCTGCATTTGAAACAATCTATCGCTGTGTGTGGCTGTTCGATGTGGGTGGGCTCCCCCTGGACTGAGAGCTCTCTGAGAGCAGGGCCAGGTCTGCTTGGCTCGCTGCAGGGCTTACCACGGGGTCTCGCACAGCCCAAACAGGCAAGGATGTGCAAGGGAGCACAATCAGGCAAAGCCAGGGCAAGCTGCTGCCTAAATTCACAGAGGTCATGGAGATGAAACCTCTGAAGTCCATCAGTAGGAGCAGACCATTTCGGTTAGAAGAACATCTTGCAAAAATCTTCCGGGCTACAATATTTATGCAGTCACTGATCTCAAAGCACTTTCCCTGAGTTTCCTCTCACTGAGGCTATGACTGGGCCTGGTAGGAGGAAGCCAGACCAGCAGGGCACACGGACTAGATTCTGAAAAAACAAGATTTGCTCCACACTTAAATGGGCCGAGCAGAGGTTCTGCCATGCCAGGAGGGGAAGGGCCAAGGATGATAACAACAGCAATAGTGAACACTCACTGAGCTCTACGAAGTGCCATGCAGCACAAGGCACTCCATATGAATTAGGTCACTTAATTCTAACACATTAATTCTAAGACACGACAACTCTAGGACTCTAGGACATACTAATATCCCCACTGTTATAAATGAGGCCATCGAAGCTTAAAGAGGTTGGATCCTTGGTGTGAGAAGTCAGGATTCCCACCGATGTCCACACCATTGTCACACTGTGCCTTCCTGGATGGTTCGCCAAGAACCCAAGAGTTCTTCAGCCACTAGCAGCTGTCAGGGTGGCAAACCCAGGAATAAGACCAGGACTGTCTCCTTGCTGCCTGGGTCCAACTTCAGAAAGTGGAGATGTGTAAATTTGGGCAGACCCTACTGTGAATGATGCAGACTGCTGTGTGAAATATCACTTTAAGTTCTCAGGTGGTTTTCAAGGGAAAATAGGGAATCATGGCTTTCATTTTTAAATGAATCCACTCTATAATCAGAGAGTCCACTCCTAGATCTCATCCACTCTGACAACTGTGTGAACACTATACTGTTCAGCAGACTGCTGGAGATGTATGTTGTCCAGCAATCCTTGCACGATGGAAATTTAATCCGTGCTGAAAGCGGCATCCTGCTCAGCAATGGCTCACATTACTGCCTCTGCTGGCAAAGGGGTGAGGGAGAGAGAGAGGACCAGTCAGGAATTTCCACTTGCTTATGGTCAGCCTTGAAGGAGGGGCTTCTCCTCATTGTGTTATTCCCATGGAAGACCAAGCCCCTTCGGGCTAGCCCATCATGGACTTTAGGGGAGTCCTCTGTGACCTGGCTGCCCCATCTGGAAAGGGCACCTGTTTGCTCTAGCCCTCACTGACTTGTTCTTCAGGGTCAGGGATGTGCAAACACTGGAGACCCTCAGCAGATGGGTGCTGCCCAAGCCATCTTCATTGCCTGGGGCAAAGTTGCCTGGCTAGGCAATCAGGGGAAAACAAAACTAAAATCATAAAGCTAGTTTTCACGATGCCTGGGTGGCTCAGTCTGTTAAGCATCTGCCTTCGGCTCAGGTCATGATATCAGGGTCCTGGGACTGAGTCCCACACTGTGCTCTCTGCTCAGCAGGGAGTCTGCTTCTCCCTCTCACTCTCACTCTGTGCTCTCCCTCTCTCTCTCTCTCAAATAAATAAATAAAATCTTAAAAAAAAAAAAAAAAGCTAGTTTTCTTTTGTCTTCAGGCACCTGTTCTCTCCCAGAGAAAATAAAAGTACAATATCCAGGGTCTCTTCTGGAAGATGCTCCTCCCTCCTCCACTCCAAGGAAGGGTCACGGAGCTAATTAGGTCTGGGCCAGTAGTCTCTGCTTGGGTAAACTAAATCAGGACACCCATAAGACTCACGCAAGGTGTTTGTTCAAAATAGGTACTCCTGGTCTCCACCCCAAGCCCACCAACTCAGCTACTCCAGGGGAGGGTCCAGGATTTACCTTTTTACCAAGTGTCCCAGGTGGCCCTTACCATCAGGGAAATTTAGAGCAGTGGTTCAAAAAGTGTGGTCTCTAGACAATAGGACCACCTGGGAACTTTTTAGAAATGCAAATCTTGGCTACAATGAAGCATCCAGCGTGTGCCTCAGCGTTAATGCAAAGCCTCCACCAGTCTGGGAGACACAGTACGTGCTCCCATGCCAGAAGCCCTGCAGGACAGTCTGACCAATAGTGATTTTACTCCCTCTTTCATCTTGTTCTCTTTTGGTGGCCTTGATCATCTTCCATGGAGCGCTCTGAATCCTGTACTGACCCTGGCAGACCTGGGCAGTAATGAACATAAGGTCCTAGGGCAAAGACAGTGGACTCAGGGAGTCCTGTGGGGGCTGGAGGGCGCACGTCCCTCTCAGACATCACTCAGTGAGACATCATTAAAACACTGGCATGGCCATGCACAAAACCACTGGCTGTGTGTGTGGCCCCTGAGACGCAGGTTTTCTGCTCCTCTCTTTACCTAGAGGAGGAAGAAAGAAGCCTGGACAGGTGAGGTGGCTTCCCCAAGACTGCGGGGTGAACTGGTGTCGTAACAGGAGCCCCTAATTCCAACCCTGAAGCTCCTACCGCTGACCTGCTCGCCCCCCACAGCACATTGCTTCAGGCCTCCTGTTGTCCCTCTGCGCATGTCTTGTCCCTCCAGTACACCTGTCAACAACAGCCTGAGGGCAGGACCTGGGACTGGCATTTTTGTTCTGTTACCTTTTCAACGAATGACAAAGTGTTAAGGCCATGGTAGGTGTCCAAGAAATACTTACTGAAATCTCTGAATTACGTCCCATGGGTTGTGATTCTTACTGGCTAATGAGATGAAGAGACAGGGAACTGCGTGGAAAGGGGAAGATCGGCAGGCAGTAGGGAAAACAGGAAGCATCCTGGACTTGGATCCAGGAAACCTGAGTCTGAGTCTTAGTCAATCTATGATCCTAGTATTAGTCACCAGCAGTTTCCGTAATTACAGAGTGATAAGATATAGGCTCTGGTCTACTTCACAGGCCTCCTTCGCGGACGATCAAGTGAGGTGATGGACACGGAAGTCCTTTGGGAATGGTCCGGGGCCATGCTAAAGAGTACTAAAGGCAATCGCCATCGACATGCACGCCACGTACTGTTTTAAACGTTTCTTGCTATTTAACCCTCACACCAATTCTGGGAGGAAAGTTCTAGTATGGCCTTCATGTCACAGATGAGGAAATGGAGGCACAGAGAGGTTACATGACTTGCCTAGTGTCACACAGCTGGTAGGTGGCACCCAGATCCCATGCCAAGGGTACAGTGCTGCCTCCCCCCACTAGGACGGTATATTCATCTGGGGAAGGGGCTGCTAGGACAAAGCACAGGCATGAAGCAGAACACAGGAAAACGGGGCTACAGCCCCGGGGCACAGACTGACCTGCTGGCCACATCCTCCTCTGCGCCTTTGTCCAGCACACTGCTCAGGTTGTGCTCAGCCTGCGTCTCCTCAGGCACCTCCTCTAGCTCCTCGGCCTGTTTCACAGACAGGCGGTAGTTCTCCAGCTCGATCCGTTCAGGAGTGCCCCTGAGTCGCTTGGCAATGCTAGGCTCTTCGAGACCATTCACGCTTGAACCTGCAAGACAAGCAAAGCCTCAAAGTTCTATGACAAATGATGGCAAATAACCACAGGTGGTGGGGGGATGGAGGAGGTATGCAGGGAAGGGGGAGGCGCCGACAGAAGGATATCTAAGCATCCAAGGCAGTCACCACTCATCTCAATAAAAGGAGGGACAGAGCTTCCATGAAGGCCAGGGAGCCAGCCAAGGCGCAGACTGCAAGTTGAGGTCACAGAGGCCAGGAAGGGGCTGCGCAGTGAGAGCAGCAACCCTTCCTTGAGCCTGAGAAACAGGAAGACAGCCCATCTGCCCTGAGAGGGGAACATAGGCTTACCCTCCTCTGTCATCCCTGAACCCGCGCACAGTGGAAGGAAGAGGTGGTGGTGACTGGGGGGGAGGAGCAAAGGGGACTTGGGTCGGACCCTAAGGAGGCGCTTCTCGCTGACCAAGCCCCCCTCAGCAGTCACTGAGAAGGGGAGTCCTGCCCGCTGCCGGCCCCCTGATGGCCCAGGACCCAGTCAAGGTTCATGCACTGCTCTTGGCTGATCCACAGACGTGTCCAGGCTAGTTGTTTGCAGAACTTGTCACATTGTGGATTTGTCTGTCTCCTCATGATTAGATTCATGGTAAATACTTCCTATTTAGTAAGAACACCATGTGGGTGAGGCTGCGCCCCTTCCACTGCACACAGGAGGAATACAGTTGGGTTGCCTCATCTTTTTTAAACTGTTTTTTTTTTTTCATTTTTATTTATGTATTTATTTTTGAGAGAGAGAGAGAGAGTCAGACAGACAGAGGGAGCACAAGCAGGGGGAGGGGCAGAGGGAGAAGCAGGCTCCCCGCTGAGCAGGGAGCCAGATGCGGGGCTCGATCCCAAGACCCTGGGATCATGACCTGAGCCGAGGGCAGTTGCTTAACTGACTGAGCCACCCAGGCGCCTGGCTTGCCTCATTCTTGGTGACAAAAGCTTGACTGCTTGGTTAAAGTGGTGCCCAATGATCTTTCTGCTGGAAAGAGATATTTCCCCCTTTGTAATTAATAAGTAATCCATGGGGTGATACGTAGAAACCATGGGATTATCCTTTCATCCAGGGATTTTAGTACCCATTGATGAATGGGGATTTTAAAAATTTTATCATTCCTTCACCACTGTCATTCTTTGTGAAGAACTTTTCCCATTCCTCTCTCTCTCAAAAACCAGGACTCATGGATTTTGAAAAACTTAAGTGTTGTATTTGCCATGTTTTCTTAATCACCTTTATTCTAGAAATTTCTGTCTCCCTCCTTATTATCTCCTTCATCATTATGCTTTTTTTTTTATTATGTTCAGTTAGCCAGCATACAGCACATCATTAGTTTCTGATGCAGTGTTCAACGATTCAGTAGTTGCGTATAACACCCAGTGCTCATCATAATAGGTGCCCTCCTGAATACCCAGCATTATTCTTTTTTTTTTTTTAAAGATTTTATTTATTTATTTGAGAGAGAGAGAATGAGAGATAGAGAGCACGAGAGGGAAGAGGGTCAGAGGGAGAAGCGGACTCCCCGCTGAGCAGGGAGCCCGATGCGGGACTCGATCCCGGGACTCCAGGATCATGACCTGAGCCGAAGGCAGTCGCTTAACCAACTGAGCCACCCAGGCGCCCCCAGCATTATTCTTTTTGATGTGCCTTTTTATCCCAAATTTGGTTAGAAGAGGCCCATTGTATTTATTCTTTACTGTATGTCTTCCCTGTAATATGATGTAGGTTTAGATTTAGAGTCAGACAAATCCAAGCTAGACACCTGGCTCTGCCAGTGACCAGCTGAAGGATCTTAGGAAAATTTCATAACTACTGAGAGTTCATTTTCCTGATCTATAAATGAGGACAGCCCCCAACTCCTAGGATTAATATGAATATGGGATGAAATTATATACATATATGCACAAGTACATGTGTGTACCAAGTGCACGGGCCCCAAACCTGTCATCTTCCTCTTTTATGTAAACCCTGCACATGGGCAGTTATCTAGCATATACAAGTTAAGTGCTATAATTGATGTCAGTAACATTCTTAGCACCAGTTTGTATGTATTTTTGTGCAGGTATGTTGTATCCATTTGCTCTGGGTTGCGAACAAGAGTTACTTGACAAAGATGGGAAGGGAGTTCTGGGTAGAGGGAACAGCAACAGTTAAGGTACAGTGACCTGTAACGGCAGGTTGGTATTACTAGATCTGCTAGTGGCAGTATTCTTAAAGTGGTAGAGGAGAGGAAGAGACCGGGGTGGGAACGGAGCCCACATGGCCTTTGGTGACATTCTAAGCTCTAAGAGATGACACTGGGTTTTGGCAGGCAATATCATACCAATCCAGTGTTGGGTGATGGGTGGTCTGTCAGGGGAAAGCCAGAATCTCTGTAATGAAGGACTAAAGGAAAGGGGTGGGAATACTGAGTCAGTAATTTTTGTGACACGACAGGTGTGCAGAAAATCTTGTGGAAGCCTGGCACTTTTGTTGTGTACAATGTTCTGGACCTCTCCATATTGTCATTAGACAGAACTTTTTATGAGTCCAGGAAGTCACAGAATAAAGTCTTAGTACATCTGTCAGATTCATCTGGATCTTCCACCAAATAGCATCTTTCAAATTTACTAGACAATCTTTACTAAAAAGCAAGACCCAGAGCACATTCATCTATAAAGCGTCTAATGATGGGGTCACAGCATGAACCCTTGGGCTCCCTAGGGCCCTGTGCAATGCCCACCCATCCTAGTTTTTGCAATCCCAGTTGGGGCATTTTATACATCCCTGGTCCATTCCCCAACACTGAGCTCAGGGCCTCTAAAGTGTAAGCTATGATGCAAGATCAGGGCATGTGGAAGATTAGGAAATATGTGGACTCCAGGTAATAGCAAAAAAGAGACAGGGAGCACAGCAGGTGGATGCTGCCGCAGCATCCTCCAAATCTGCCCCCCACCCCAGGTTCTAACTGCACCAGTTCATCATTTGCAAACATCAGTCTCCCTGTCCTCTCTTGCTCCTTCCCCTCATCAAAACCCAACATGATAAACATAAGAAGGCTAAGGATCCCCTGACTATATCATTTGATTCTTTCCTTCTCGTTGTATTTTTGACAAATACCTTAAACAGAAAGCAAATAAGAAAGTGAAATAAATGGAAACCACTCCCCAAGTATAAAGTTTTGGGGAACTCCACAGATAAAGAATAAAAACCAGTATATCTTTTAGACAGGGAACAAAGAATAGAATAAGAATGGTAACTTCAGGGAAACAAACAACTAATGCTCATCAATTCAGATACAAGCAATTTCCAGGTAGAGTGAACAAACACACTCATGGAGAGAAACACTCAAGAAGTGATGTCTGTTTTTAGCGGGTAAAAACCATACTATTTGGGGTGCCTGGGTGGCTCAGTTGTTAAGCGTCTGCCTTCGGCTCAGGTCATGATCCTGGGGTCCTGGGATCGAGCCCCGCATCAGGCTTCCTGCTCAGCGGGAAGCCTGCTTCTCCCTCTCCCACTCCCCCTGCTTGTGTTCCCTCTCTTGCTGTGCTTTAAAAAACAAAACAAAAACAAGACCAAAAAAAAAAAAACCACCATACTGTTTGCCAGAAATTCTACTAGAACCTTGGGAAACAAAGCAGATTAAAACACTCTCTACTCTTAAAGAGCTGTAGGCGAGTCACAGAAGAGACAGTCCACCACAGGAATCATTTCAGCATGATGTCTCACGTGTTACGGCTCATGCACGCGGTGGTACTATCGGAGTACACAGAAGGGCAGCTCCACCTAGGGTAGTCAAGGAAGACTTTCTGGAGGAATATGGAGTTAGCCTAGCTGGCTTTAAAGAAAATTCTATGAGATAGGTAATAGTTTGCAAATGAAGTAACTGAAATTCAGAGACATTAGGCAACCTGTCCAATGTCACACAGCTAGTAAGCAGTGGAACCAAGATCTGAATCCAAGGAGGACAGCATTAATTCAGAAGACTATGATGCTCTTCCTGGATTTATGATGTGAAGAGAAGAAAAGAAAAGGGAGGAGTGTTTCCACAGAGTCCTGTTCTACTTTCCCCTTTGGGACACCTCACCATTATCTCCTCCCCACTATAATTTTCAAGATGAGGGACACAGAACTACATGAAAGCGACTTAAAGCACAGAATCTGGCATTTTCAACGACATTCTGTCCTCCTTCCAGAGTTATTTCTCTGGGGTTTCTATAAGCTCTGTGGACTAATAGATCATCAAACAACAGAACTTGGCAGCCCAAACCCAGAGTTTGGGGCTTTGGGGAGGAGAAACGTTGACTTAATTCTGGGTTTGGCCACAATCAATAAAAAAGAAATGAGAGGCTCTCAGAACTATTCAGATCATTCACACATCAGTCCCCCAGAGAAAGGATGCTTTTTCATGAAAACCGTTAGAAGGGTCCCACTGGAGATTTTTAAGACTTGAGGTGGAAGGAATAGAGTTGCCTTACTGTTTCGGTCTTTCTACACCCACTGGGTCCATGTCCACATGGAGCTAGACTCACCCAGAGCTTTGAGCAACAAGGGCATTGCAGGACATTGCTTTTACGGCTGAGTCCCCATGGAGGTTCCGTTTTCCCAAAGGGAAGGTGGCACTTCAGAGGACACTCGGCAAGTACCAAAACTCACCAACTGCCAAAATATGCTTAACATTCCCAGCCCATAACCTCAAAACACCATGGGAAATGAAAAAAAAAAAGAAATCAACCAAACCAGCACACTCGGTTCTCTGTGAGGAGCAAGGGGCTATGTGCTCGATTAACCAGGTGGTGATGATAAATTACGACATCAAAGGAAGGAAGAGTGGAGGAGACCCAGGCAGTGGCTGTAACACAGTGACAGACACAGGGCCTCCCCTCGTCCCCTGGATCCTCCCCCTCTCAACGAACAGAAGGGCACATGGGAGCAAGGGCTATAGGGGCGCAGAGGTAAAAACAGCCGACAGATGTGGGTTCGGCAAGTGAGAGGATAAGCAGTGGGGTCAGGCT